GGGGGGGGTTGAAGGACACCATCTGAACAGGAGGAGGCTGGTTTATGGCTGGTTCACATCTTGATCCGGGAAATCTGTGCAGGGCGAACCTCTCCGCTCACGACAATTTTAGTACCATGTGCTGTGCAAGATTTTCCCTCTTGACTCGGTGAGTCAGCGCTGCGCTCCAGCTCGTGTACAAAGCGGCTACCCAGATTTTAGCCTTTGATCCACTGGCACTGCGGTTTGACCTTTGGGTGCCCTCAACGAACTCACCCCACTCTCCATCTGGTTGGGGTTTTTTTTTTTTCCCCCCAACATTCAGCTGCTCAAAACCAATTTGCAAAGTTGGTGAATGGTACAAGATTGTTTTTTTGCTATGAGAATTTTATGTACTTCAGTTAATGGCCTTCAATTTATTCCCTCTGTAAGTGCTATTGAAGCCCGAGACTGTTCAGGTTTTCATTTCAACTACACATTAAAGCAGCTGATTTCACCGACGAGCTTGTGCCTGGTGCTAATCAGGGAGTAATCACCTGCACATTTTGGCTGGAGTAAAATAAAATAAAAAACAGATTATTTGGGCTTCAGCTGCATTTAGTTGAGAACCTCTTCATAACCTTAATCAATTTGATCTTTTAACTTTAACCCCTGGAGTGGCCTCTTCTCAAAGTGACGACAGCTACGTATGCTCATTCTGCCTTTTCCAGCTCTGTGATTTCCTTGTTCAATTATACTGGGCAACATTTTCACCCCTCTGATTTCCCCTCTTTCTAATCCACTCTTGTTTATTTGTACCCTGTGATGTGTTACGTGTCTTTATTGATAATCCTGCCCACAAACCAAGCTGTGCTAATGAAATGTAGATAGACCATACAATCGCTGGGGATGAAAGCGAAACATATACGCACACACACGAAATCTGCAGCAGATACTGTAATTTTAATCTGCACTTGACATTAACTCGTGCATTTTATCAAACAGCTGTTTGCAGGCAAAGATCAACTTCCTGTGCCTGTGCATCACTAATTAGATGTAATTACAAACTATTTTCACACACACACATGAGAAATAATCTCAGCGCTGTTTGTTTGATGTCTACCAGCTCGTTTTAAATTGTTTCAAAGCAGCAGCAGCAGCAGCAGCAGCAGCAGCATTTGTGCTGTTGTAGCTGGGTGGATTTCTGCTCTAGTGTCACTATTTGTGTCTTATTATCAGCAACACACACACACACACACACCGAGGCTCTCACCCGGTCTGGCTGCACACTGCCCCCTCGTGGGCAAACACCGGACTGTCAGGCCTGACTTTGCACTTTGTTGTGAAAGTTTAATAAAGAGATCTTAATGAAGCCTAATAACAGGATGTGCTGAGCTGAAGGAGCCATTTTAATAAAACTAAATGTTGTGTTTCAAGATTATAAATCCACGCACACATTTTCCTACAGTTATGTACTTAAGGCATTTATATAAACTCTTTAAAGTATTTAAAGTTCACTTTTTTTTCCCAGATGCTAAAGGGAGTTTTATCATCTTCATTTTGCTCAATGCAGCAACAATAACTGTGAAAAATACAAGAATAGACAAACAAATTGAGGAGATAAACAACAGTGCACAAAAAAAGAAAGAGAGAGAAGACAAAACGAACAAACAGTAAACTACTAATTAACAGCAAAAAGCAACAGCTAATTACACAAATATAAAACAAAACAAACAAAACTGATTTTGATTGCATCGTCGTTTGTCTGCTCAAAGTCGGTCGTTAAAAGAATGAGAGAAGTCAACCTCTAGGCACGTTTTAAAATTCTCCAATTTGAACGATAATTTGTGTCAGGTACAAGTTTTCTCTCTTAAACTGAGATTTAAGAGAAACTTTGTTCCTTCAGCAGATGAAGGTGAAAACAGCGGAGCTCAAACATCCGCAACTGAAGTAAGAATAAGCCAAATATACAGTGTATTTAAGGGAGTTGAGGGATATATACTGATCAAATGCAATAATTATAATAATAATTGCCCTCCAAGGTGAAGGTGGACTCGGACCCCACAGGTGCATGCTGGGACGGGGGTTTTGAGATACAGTATGAACAGCATTAGTGGCAGCAGAAGCAGCAGGAAGTGAGGGCTTAACTTTCAGGTGAGTGATGTAGCAGCAGCTTCCAAAGTGTGAGCAGCAGAGTGCTGACAGCTTAAGTACAGCGCCCTAACGAAACGGCTCCACTGGCTGTATCTTGCAGCGAGAGAGAGAGAACAGTATGCCATGCGAGTGGAGTGGCGGACCCGAGGTGACTGCCTGAACCAGCTCGCAGGCTTTGTTTTATTCATAAGGTGGGTCACTGATGTTGGCTGATAAGGTCTGGCTCTCAGTCGGCGTTCCCGCTCATCCCGGGGGAGTTGGACGGGGGGTGAGGTCGGGACTCTGTGCGGACCAGTCAAGTTACTCCAGGTCAAGGTGGGAAAACCCATTTCTTTCTGGAGCCGGTTCCGTCAGGATGGAACAGGAAACTGTTGCCACACAGTTGGATGCACACTAAATATATCACTGTAAGCTGCACCCCCATCATTAAATCATTATCATATATGCTGCTCTTACCCATCATTAGCTTCTTTCTGGCACAAGGTTCATTAAGTTTTGTAGAAAGTACTCCCACTTAAAGTGGATTATGATATTTGGGCACCTTGCCTTCAGACAATGTTATTTCTACCGTCAGATAGTTATTGTCAAAGTGCTGCTGGTAGAGAGGATGTTACTGAAAAGTAATTAAAACCGGAAATATCTTCACCTGAGGATTGGACTGACTTTATTTATGACATCTTTAAGATGAGTGCAACAGGACAAGTATTAAAAAATATGGAAAAGTTAGATTTTGTAGATGACATCTGTTCATCATTTGTTAAAAGTGAATTTCCCTGTTGAATTTTATTTCTATATTTATTTTTTTGTTTACATTTTGCTTTTATGTTATGCACTTGAATTTTTATACCTGTATCTTTATTTTATTTACTTCATATAAACTCATCTGAATTTTTTTTTCATGCAAAAAAGGCATAAACATAATGACTACAAACGATGTATAAAGCATTTATTTATGTTGCTTTGTTATATCCAAATAAAATGAGAATTAATAAAACAACCAAGGGGGTCCCACCCAAAACCACGACAAACATCCAAAAACACAAACACACATGTAAAAACAGGGGTGTCCACATACTTTTGGCAATACTCTGTACAATGAACCCAGATTCATCTTTTAGTTTTTTAAACTTTTTTGCAAAATTTACACATAAAACTTCAAGAGTCAGTGAGTTGATTTCCTTGACTGCACACCGACACCCACAGGAACAGCAGCGCCCTCTGCTGGTCTCACGGCGGAACTGGTCACCTTGATTCACTCGTGTGATTCAGATCGCAGGTGTTTTCATCCAGCTGACGCCGAGGTTGTGTGTTTTTTTCCCCCCACGAGAGGAACACAACCTCTACATCATTTTTCATGTCGAATCCCCTGTGCCTTGTTTTTGGGAAACGTGTTATGTCCTTGATTGCAGAGTACACGAGTTTCAAAGAATACGCCTTAGGTAATACAGAAATTAGTTTTATTTTTTAATACAGAAAAAGGGAGAAGATCAAAGCAATCGATGCTGGCAACCAGGGAGAGGTTTTTTTTTTTTTCTCCCTAAAAAAAGAACTGCTTTGGTTTTGGATTTGGTTGCCAACACAAAAACAGAGGTTTAAGAGGCTTTTATGAGGCCAGGAGGAGGAGCGGGGAAGTCTGGTTTCACAGGGAGACGCAGTCGGAGGTACAACAGATGTTCACGAGATATGGGAAAACATTTGTTATTTGTTGTGTCTGGATGTTTCCATTTTTGTTCTCGTCATCATTTCCTGTTTTCTGCGTGCCAACATCTCCGCATTCATTCAGGGTGGTTTTTATAATATTTCATGTCATCTCCTGCCTTTTCATTGTCCTCACTGTCTCAAAAATTCTGACATTTTTGGTTCAATATGAGATTAAACTGCTTTGACTTTGATTTTTCTTTGCTCCATTTCTACCGTTTTGTTACTATGAGATGAATCATACCTTCAACTGCAGAAAGACAAAATCCCATTCTGGTTTCCTCCTACTCTTCAGGAACAAAAGCTCAGTTAGAGGTCACGACGAGGCAATAATGCACTTTGAGATTCATTTACTGTCACAAAACGGGTCAAGTCTGGTCTCTCAAGGTCACACTGTGACATTTCAAGTGTGGTGATTTAGATAAATAGCAGTCTTTGATGCAGATGAGTAGGTTTTAACTGGCCTCTTCAGCTGCACTCTTTAATCTGCCACATTTTCCTTTCCACTCTTCAATTTGACAAACAGGATTTGAACTGAAGCCTCCCACACAGTAAACAGTCAACAGTGAGCTGCAAGTGGCTGAGGGAGATATTTACCACTCTGTGTGTGTTTACCACCTCACACAATTTGAAACAGCAGCTGCCAGTAGTACGTTCTTCTCCCAGCGCCGCGGAAACGCCACCAAAGGTAAACAGCAGCCGACTTGTTTGTTTGAGAGCTCAGACTGAGACTGTGACCAGGTGACCAGACACTGACCTCAAAATGGCCGCCGTATACCGGCCGGCCGCGGTGGCTCACTTGGCCATGTAGGCTGCCACCTCCTTCTCCAGACTCTGGGCGAAGCGGTGGTTGAGGAAGAGGAGCTGGCCGTGAGGAAGCAGGCGGCTGAGCACAGCGTCGATGCGGCTGCTCTTCAACAGGGCCTGCAGGGGGGGGGGGGGGACGACTGCGTTAATGATCCCAGTTAGTTACAGGTAGAAATAAAATCTGTACAGCTGCTATCATCTTTCATTACTGTCGCCTTGTGTATTTATTGCAGTTTCCATAACATGTAATGAGCTGCTACTGTCGAGAATTTGGCCTGCGATGCTCAGCAGCAATATTTCCGTGGAGGTAAACTGTTTATGTTAAATAACATCAGTCTAATGAGGCCTTTAGACACTGTGCTACAAATGCTGTATGTACTTTGAATACAGTCTCATTATAGATCTACTAGACAATAAACTAGTTTGTAAAAATACACCAACAAATGTCACTATGTCACTGCAACTGAGGAACATGTTCCAGCTCTAAAAAGAGTAAAGTGTTTTTTATTGGGGACTATTTTCAGCAGCGGATGAGTACAAATCAAGTATTTAGAGCAGCAGGCTGTTTCATCACTTGTTGCCCCAGACCTGACGACATGTTCGGGATTTATTAACATATAAATCTACATATATATAATGGAGCTCTATGACACACAGCAGTAAGACGTATCAAGCACTACTTGTTAGCACGATCAAAATCAACAGATTGATCCTTTAAAACCAAATAAAAAAAACAGTCTGCCAAATAGCAGTGGCAGAGCAAAACTCTCCAATTACAAATCTTTTCCTCCTCTAATCCCTGCATCACAGAGCGGCCAACAGTAAATCGACACAAACACTGGCTGCAAAAGGGAGGAGTGACAGTGAACTGACCTTACTCTCCAGCCAATACGGTTTGTTTGTAGACACCCAGAAAGGTTTCTTGTGGGTATTTTTATGTGTCAGCTAATCAACGGGCTGCCTGAAGGTCTCAAAAGAAAAAATCAGCGGAGTGAGACCTTTGAACTTATCCAGTTCAGACTGGTTCACTCGGTCCTGACATCCAAATCACAACAGGTTTAAAGGCGGCCTCTACATTTGAAAGTCCCTCTATCTCCTTTAACAGTTTGATGTCAACTCTAAATGGTTTTCCTGAATGTAAAACACATAATGATCGAAAAAGAAACCATGTCTGTCAGGGGGAGTACTCGCCTGTTCCAGGCAGTGTCGGGTCAGGTTGCGGAGGGTTCCCTCGGCCAGCAGCAGGTTCTCGTGGGGCTCACACACCAGCGTGAAGCCGAGATTCTGGACACCCATCCACAGAGCGCTCATCTCCTCAGAGAAGGGCTCACCAGCTCTCAGACGCACCACTCCGCAGGTGGCCTCCTGCAGGGCCAGAGCTTCCTCACCCGGCACCGTCTCCACCGGCAGCCGGCCTGAAGCCTCCCGGGACAGAGAGACAGCGCTCCTCACCTGCCTGAGTCACAGAGGAACAGTGGTATATCAAGTGGTATACAACTAATCAATCAAGTGTTACATTAAGGTTTCATGTTTTCAGTATTTTCCCATTTTATTGATAGCATTAACAGCTGATTGTTATTTGTTTATAAGCGAAGTGTCAAACTGCTGTCGTTACTTGACGTGCAGCAGTAGATCAGTACTGTCTTTGTTTTTCCTCTGCGCAGAGAGTGAGCGTCTTCTACTGACGGTGATAATCAGTAGTTACAGTTTGTCATGTGGGAGAACAGAAAGCTACACAAACACTGCGTGAAAGACTCCCTCAGTAACCGAAAACAAAACAGGACGGATGCAGAGAAGATTGACAGCCTCTCCACTCGCCTCTGTGATGCATTTTACATTGTTTACCATCAGGAAATTAGTGGGATGCAGACAAAAGATTGGATGCATCTAATTACGGCAGAAATCAAGAGGAAGATGCTGTTATTCCTGCACAAACAGCTGATTTTCACAGTTTAGAAATTAAAACATGTTTGTCATCCTCTAAAAAGCCAAAAATGAAATACACAACATTAAGTAGGAAGTCGTATCTTCACCATCCCACTTTATTTATCAGTCATGTTGATGCGACACCTTTTGATGGAGCTTTAACTGACAATTTAATGTTAATAAGTTCTAGTGGAGGTTATTTAATATCAGACACAAGAGCAAATTTTGAGAATAGTTCAATGTCTGTGATTCAAACTTGCCGCAGTATTTCCTCAAGTCACTACTGCAATACAAATAAACGTTTTTTTAGTCGCATAGTTGACTGTTAAAGCGCCTGGAGGAATAAGCAACGGCCACAGCACAAACTCAACGACTTCAGGCGTTTGATTGTTTCATTCTTTTCTGGTTAAAACAGCGTGTGGAGGATGCTCATGCTGACTCTCTGTCAGTGGAACAGCGTGGTGGATCTCTGCAGCGGACAAGTCATCAGAAGAGCTTTTGAAAAAGCAGACTTTTAATAAAAAATAAAAAAAAACTCATAGAAAGAAAACCTAGCCTTACCTGAAATATTTTGAACCAGGATTATCACCTTCCAAGGAAATGATGAAGGAATTTCAGGTTTAAAAAAAAGTCCTACTGTTGATGTATTAAAATCTATCTATATGTTTATTTCAAGATGTAGTTCAGTGGTCATTTCTGCAATTCACTGCTTCACAGCCATAGGCACCCAATGTTCAAAGGCGTCTTTAGCGTGAGAAACCTGATTGTTTATTGTCCCGCCTATAAAAAATAAACAAACAACACAAACAACACAAACTAACTGCTGGTGCTTAAATAAAGACACTTCCAGCTCAAAAACACAGAAATTAGACCGACTCACCTCGCCACCACCGCCACCTTCTCCTTCTGCAGTAGTCGTCTCTCCTCCGGACCGAGCTCCCGGTGCTGCTCGGTCAGGACTCCTTCATCTGGACCGAAAACCCGGGAGTACAGGACCCTGCTCTCCCCGGCAGACAGACCGCTGACCGGACACACGGTGTGGATCAGGAAACACCGGACCATGCTGTCGTAAGTGGACAAAAAGCAGTAAAGAAACAAGATACTTATTTGTCTCGAAATACTAATGTTTACTTTAGCATTCCCATGTTTCTTCCGGTTTCTACTGATTTCTTTCTTCCGCGTTGGTCATGTGACCTCTCTCGGCTACCGTTGCTTTGCGTTCTTTCAACCAGCAGATGGCGCTCGCTCTATAATATATTTTATTATATCCAAGATATAAATAGATATATGATATATAAACGGAAAGTCAAATATTTATATTTTTTTCATTTATATCTATAGAGATTTTAAGAAAGGTGTGAACCAAATAAAAATTGGTTAATAATTATTTCATTATCTATTAATCTGCTGATTAATTGATAAAATGAAATAATAAATTAAATAAATACACATTACAATCCAAACCGGCAGATTCAAACTTCTTGTTTTATTTGATAAAGAGTCAACAAGCTGAAATAAACGACTTGAATTAACTATAAATGAATGAATTAATCATACGCACTGACAAACACAGCATATATTTGCATTTTAGAAATGTATTTTCTCTTCAAGTTTCTACAATACACACTCTACTTGCTGATATCAACTGACTGATTTTTGTGACTAATTTCATCAAGAGAAACTGCCCTAGATGTCTTGTGCATAGATCTAATTTTCCCAAAATTCAGCCTGATATCTTTGTTAACATGAAATTAGATTTCAAAATAAATGTGTGTGACTGAACAGTCACAGTAACTCTTACTCCAAAGCTGCAGCATTATTGTTTTCTTTTTTGTACAATTTTTGGGATTTATTTGTTAGTTTCCCTTGTAAAGCTGACAACAATTTAAATTTTAAAGTGAATCAGATCAACCTCAAGTGAACTGGATGGAACTTAAATACCAAGAGGAATAAAAAGTTTGAGATAGTTTAGAGCAGTAGTGGATGAAAACTGGACTGAGAGACAGAAGGCGGCTGCACAGAGGCTGACATCAGAGATCAGGGTGTTTCTGGGTCTCAGCAGACAAACAGAGGCAGCTGTTAATCCAACAGCTGCTGCTGGTCACGCTTCTTTACTCTGAGAGGCCCTGCTCTCTGTGTGTGTGTGTGTGTGTGTGTGTGTGTAGAAACTGCAGTGATGGAGGGAAAATAAAGAAAGAAAACATTCACTCTGCTTTGTTAACATTCGCTCCACTGTCCCGTTAACCTCTCTCCCCTCTGCCCCTCTCAGACCCGCTGAGACTGAAAAACACTGTAACAAGACCCGAGGATGAGGTGGTCCGAGCCGTTTGTGGGATTTCATCTTTATTTTTGGATGAAAAGCTTCCTTTCATGTCGTCTTGCTGACATTCTGCCTGTTTCAGAGTTACAACTGTAACAGCTGGATGAGGTCATGAGGTCTGATGGGTCGTGTGTTTTTAGCAGTTTTGCTCCAGGGTTGGAAATGTCGGTCAGTCCACCATGTTGATCCACAATGACATATCTCAAATATCTCTTTTCGGATTTCAAGATTCAACTGAACATAAAAAGTCTCTGATCATGTCCCACAGTGTATTTGTATTGTGGTTGTCCAAACTGTAGATGTCTCTGAGGACTTCCTGTTGATGGTTTAACTGTTGACGTCTGGACAAACTATTAGCAGAGGAAGACTCAGTGATGTGATTGAAAGCTCCGAAACAGCTTCTGCTTTGCTGAATTGTTTATTCATTGGCTGACTTTTCTCACACTCAGTTGTGTGTCAGGTTGTTGACTTTGGACACAAGATTTACAGAAAATTGACTGAAAAAGACGATAAAACTGATACTGTGGTTTTAGTCTTATTGAGATTTTCTGGGGAAGGAGGAACTTTTTCACCTGTAAACACAAACAAAGAAACAAACAAATAATGAGAGAGAGACATGTTTAAAAGAAAGGATATTTCCATCACAAAAAGAAAAGAAAAACTGACACATTTCTACCACAGCAGCTGCTAAATGGAAACTGTGGTTTTGAGTTTCAAGTCATCTTGACAGGTTGCTTTTGAGCAAATGAAGCTTCTGGGACCATTTTCTTTTTTTTTTTTGCAGGTGAAACTGAAGCTGCTGGAGCACAGACTTACATCATTGTGTCACTTATTCTTTTTTACCAAAAGAAAAGCCAGAACCTCATTATATCCAAAGTATGATCACATTCCTCTTTGACAAATTCTGTTCTTTTGGTTCCATTTCACTGAGGACTAACATGGGTGGGTGAAAGTAGTCCAACTTTAGTTTTTCTAGTCACTGCAGAGGGCATTCGGATTTAAAATGAGTTTGAAAAAGTGAAATAGTAGGTCAGGGCTGACTACTCCAGGCTGTGGTCTGATTTATATGGGAAACATCCCTAAAATGTTCAGGCTAGTTGCATGAAACGTTTCATCAGATTAGGTGTAGAGAAGTATTTCTGCAACAGCCACACTGTGTGCAATGATTAGCCCAGACATCACTCTTCGGTAATAAAGGAGTGAATGAGAGGGATCTCTGCAGGTAATAATTAGCCCAGAGCACTGTGGGAATTCAATGTGAAAGTGAAGCCAGATTTCAATCATTTTCCCCACAGATGTTCTCTGCAGCAGCTGCGTGAGGACGATCAGATTTTCAATTTGGAGCTGCAACTATGTGAGGGACACTCACCACAAGAAAAAAACTGAGCAGGTTTCAATATTACTGAGCAATGAGTCACAGTCCCCTGTGTTGCAACAAACCAGCTGAATAAGAAAAACAACAGGATGTGGGTGTAGGGAAGGGCGATCAGCCAGCAGCGCAGACCAATGATGGCGAGGCCCGCGAGTTTCAAAATAAAGGAAGCCGAAGAAGACGTGAGACAGGCGGCCAAAAATATCTTTAGAGTCTGCTCTGCATTGTCTACTGGGGAGATGAAAACATCTTCAGTGCACATGTCTGCAAGAGGCAGAAACATCAGCAAGAGAAAAAAGCGTTTCTAATCCTGAAAAACATTCGAGAGGGACGTTCCCTTCACCACCTCCACCCTTCCTCTGAAACCACAGTGTTCCACCACCCTTGCGAAGTTGTTAGGACCTTGTTTTTTTACAGGTGGGGTTGTCAGTTTACCGCCAGTGTCAACAAGTCCCAACAAACAGGGGTTTAAAAAGTGACACCCAGGCTACAGCTTTGTGTCAGGGCACCTTTGATCGGCCCAAGGCTGCTGCCTGACAAATAGGACAGGCTGGGGGTGAAGAGGTGGATTCACAAAGGAGAGATGGTGATATGCAGGGTGGGGTAGTTTTAAGAGCAACTCTGCAGGGTGCTGCCACAGAGCTGCATGTGATCTGATCAACAGGAGTTTGATCTCTGGTTATATCAGACTGTAGTGGATAAGCAGGACTGCTTTATGGTAATATATGATGATAATAGTTTTTGCATCTTGATTTGACAAGTATTTATTCCCTTTAAGACATATTATCTTTACACACTTCAAATCCTTCTGTTTAGTATTTATAAGCAGTAAACAAACATTTAAACATGGTTTATAACAGTCTATAATGTTGCTGTAAACAGGTATAAAGACAGAAGTGTTTATTAATGTGCAGCATTTATCAACAGTTCTAACTTTTCCTACGACAGCATATTTTATACTATTACAAATGTGTCATATTATATTTTCCATTAATTTATACAGCAGCCTATACTTATGGCAGCAGTTGTAGTTGTTGACAAATACATTAATAAACAATATCTGCTTATAACTGCCTTATAGAAATAGGTTATCAGACTTAACTGTAAAACTATAAGTTATTCAAAGCAGAGTGTTTTTACATGTCTGGAAAAGACCTTTAAGTTTTCTTTACTTTGGTTTCCATGACTTTAAATCGAAGGTTTTCAATGGACGGGGCAAACTTTTACAAGCAAGTAACTTAATTAACACAGTATTCATTTTCTGGAAACCCGTTGCTGCAACATTTCAAGTGTCTCTCAGTTAATTTTGTTGAACTCTTTTACCTCCAGTTCCTAATTAGATGGGTCCAGTTGTAAAAACCTGGCTGGGGTTTCTTTTCTTACTGGGGACCTGCCAGGGACTCATCTACATTTTAAAACCGACTGTTGAAGTGGAAAAGGAGGCTTGTATTGAAAGGCAGATGCAAGTGTTGCATTAGGTATGCCTCATCTAAAAGTGCGAGGCCCCTTAAACCTCAGCAGCTGCTTCATTAACCGTCTTGTTCAGACAAAGGTGGCGGCTCGATCATGAATGGTGTAGAACCATTGACAAGTAGATGTAAAGATCACTGAGACAGAATCTGGTTTGCTGATGTTTCCCTTGCTTTCCCAGCCATGTTCACTCTTTACTTTTCTGCCAACAGTATTTCTTTTAACAGGGTTTAGGAAAGAATTAAAGCATCTTCAGTCAAGTTGCACAAGGCGTCCAACAGACACTCGTTTCAGCTTGAAACTGTTGGTGGTAAATTAGTCTTCAGACCTCAGTCGGTGGAATGCAAACAAAGGCTTGCGCTCTTTCCCACAGCCACATGGCCGCTGGGAAACTGCCTGATTTCAAACTTTGGTGAAGTGCCAGAAGGGAGGGAGCTGTGCTTTTATAACCTCCGCACCATCAGAGCAGTCACGTGTTTACAGCACATGGTGGCTCCGATTTTTTTTCCCCCGCTCGCTCCTGCAACAGAACTGTTAACCTCCTGACGGGACATGTCAGGCTGCCAGGCGCCGCCTCGACAGAGCCACTCCATATGCATTCAGGAATGTGTGTGTGTGTGTGTGTGTGTGTGTGTGTGTGTGTGTGTGTGTGTGTGTGTGTGTGAGAGAGAGAGCACGTGCTGCAGCAGAGAGGCCACTCCCAAAGTCGGCTGCAGAGGGAAGATTTGAAAAAACAGGAACTGCTGTGTGTGCAGGAAAACGTGCTGCACAGAGACCAAACAAACCTGCAGATGTGCTTTTCTCAGAACTACAAGTGTGGGAAGTCAAGTTTGCTTTGACTGAGTCCTGCACATCAGGAGCCTGTCACCAAGGTTAACAGTAATCTGGACAACTTTAAACAAAACAAAAACAAAAGATATTTATATTTAAAATATAGACCACCGTATGATGATGATGATTTTCATTATCCATTAATCTGTTATTTTTTTCTATCAAATTGTAATTTATAAACTGGAGAATTCCTGGAGAAATTTTAAATGTGCCTTTTGAAGCTGACACGACCAAAAAAAAACCTCACACTGATGGTTTCACACACACATTTGCCCCCACAACCACAGCAAGACATGTATACACACATGTACATGCCCTAACAGAATATGATTTGCAATAAAGCCATACGACAATATCATGCACATACAAGCACACAGATATACACGGTGCTGGTTTGCCTTATACATGCTCTCATACTTGAGAGTACAAGGGGTGAGAGTTAACGAGTCCAATAAGAATCAGCTTTGTCCATTTCCACCTGGATACTGAGCTAGTAGCACCTGCTGAGAACTGAGACCTGCTGTTTGCTGTCAGCTTCTGAATTTGCATTGCAGTCTATGGGAGAGCAGTATGATGGTTGAACAGTTCCTGTAGCTCAAAGTAAATCCAATATGTCTGCTGCTGTATTTACTGTTGTATCATTATAAAGTCTTAAACGGTCGAAAAAAATAAATAAAAAAATGACACAAAACGTTAACTACGATTTTGTGTAAACCGTAATAGTTTTCAAAATAACGATTTTAACCCAAATGAGTCGCAGGTCTTGTGACGCATTTAACGTTTCAGCCATTTCTCTACGTTGAAGTATGACGCAGCAGTACAGCGCCAAAGAGTGGGTGTGGTCGTTTTGAAAGACGTCTCCCCCCATTTTTTCGCCTTTTACGTCGCCATGGTTACCGGAATCGCACTCCAGTCATAGCAGAAGTCATAGCACTCCGTTCCCGATCGAGCCGCACGCATTATATATATATATATGTATTTTGTCTGGGTTTTCTCAAAGCAGCGGGACTAGTTACGCGCCAGTTTTTACGGAAGATGAATAAGACGAATAATTATCATAAAACGGTGAAAAATCACAAGGTGACAAAACGGCATTTAAACCTACAAACTGGTCAATGTGTTGAACCAACAGAGAAAAGTGGCCCCAGGTTCTCCACTGTGAGGATTTGACAGAGAATATTTGGCATTTTTGCACAAGAAATTAATCCATAAGTAACTTAAAAGATCATTAAAATTGTCAGTAAACATTTGATTGTTTCAGCTCTAATATATATATATATATTATACTATATATATATATATATATATAATATATTATATATATATATAATGAGTATATATATATATATATAAGTAAACTGAGATTTTAGGCATTCATGAATCACTGTGTGCCAAAAAAACAAAAACTAGTACTTCCTGCTAAAGACATTGAGGTCACTATATAGTGACATTTACTGCCAGTACGGACTGACTAATTGTAGTGCACCAATGTGACTGGTTTTACTGGATTTAGAAGCGTGACAAGGAAAACAAACCTACTTTCTTGCCCCCAATGTGGAGATCAAACCCAACAGTGGATGTGACTGTGACACCAAGTATTTACGTTTCAAAGGCTGCCGTCAGATGCCAGGTCACACTACTATGATAAAAGTAAAGCTATCCAGTTACTAAATAAACCCAGTTCTTGCTGAAATGTGTTTGTATTAAAAGTTGCTTCAAAGATCAGTTGTGTTGTGCTCGTTGTGTTGTTTGTTTAGACACGTGACATTAGAGAAGTTTAGCCTCTTTTGTTAAATTTGGCGCTTTCAGTGTTTCTAACACCCAAACACCAGTCGAGTGTCTGTGCAGAAATCCCCAGTCCTACCAAAGAACACATTCATTGCACAAATATGAAATTTTCAAAATTAAAAAAAAAAAACGTAGGATACTGTACATCCCATTTGAACGCACATTGGATCTTTATTTCAGCAGCTCCCCCACGAGTCTGCACCAAAATATTCAACCCACCCGAGTCGTTTATGAACTGACATCATTTAGCTCAGCAGAGTGGAAGACATTTTTATCTCTGAACATTAAGGGATTGAAAGCAAAACAAAATGTGTTTTTCTTAAGATTAAAAATCCTCTCACACTTGCTGACCTGCAGCATCAGAAAAATCTCACTGCAAAGTTAACAGGTAGTTTGTTTGCTTTGGTTTCTTCTGACCGAGAAAAAAAAATAAAAATAAAGAAATAATAGACAAGACCAAATATTGCAACTGATCAGGAAGAAAAAAAAAACAAAAAAACACAATTCTGCATTAATCTTACACCTTTTAGAAGTTGTCATAAAAATATCCAATTTACATTTTGGGGATGCCTAGAAAAAGGCATGCTTTCAACAAATCAATGTCTAAATGGGGACCAACGAAATTCATTAAAAAGTTTTATAAAAAGCAGTATCAAAAAAAAAGAAAAAAAAAAAAGAAGCACCTCACCATTTCAGGTTTTTAAATTAAGTGCTTAAATATGGTGGAACACGACAAATGCAAAATAAAGAAAAACAAAAATATCCAGTGAGGAGACTGAAAGACAAACTTCAGACTTGGCAGTGTGGTTCAGTTGCTGTATAGAAATCTGGCAGTGATTTGTGCTCGCTTACACAAGCATAGTGACAAGGTAAAAAAAAAAAAAAGAAGAAAAAAAAAAAAAGGCAGTAGGTCCAAGTGGTTTTTAAAACGATCACATTGCTTCACAAATCTGTTTTACTGCAACTCAGCGACATCTTCAGGTCAAGTGTTCATCATTTCTCGTCTTTCCCTCTTTAGATTTGCATAAATAGCTAACTTTGTTATAGTTAAATGAAAATTTGGGGACTTCAGAAAAATCCCATTCCTGTTGGCGCAATCTCAATAACTTATTTCCTCGTTGGTGGGGGGGGCTCTGAGAGAAATTTGCACTCAGTCTGTTCAGGGAGGGGGGGAGGGGGAGGCAGTGTGTGTTTCAGAGGCAGTTAAGGTGGAACGAGGCGGCGCTCACAGCTTCTTCAGTCGGCTGTACATGTCTCTCTTGCTGCGCTCCCCGGCCCAGGTGCGACTCTTGAGGCGAAACTTCCTGAGGTCCTCCTTGAAGTCCTCGTGGTGCATGGGCCGGTAGGACTGAGGTTCACATTGCGACTGCGCAGGAAGATGATGAGACAAGTTCAGAGTGCTGAACAGCCATCGAGGGTTTCATTCAATGAATTACCTCCTTACATCTGACAAGCATCTCATCTTACTAGCCTTTTCTGAGTTTTTAAAAAAAAAAAAAAAGGTGAAGACATTCACCGAGATGGAGTGAAAGCTCAGAGAAGGCTAGTAAGTGAACCTTGAGCTGAAATTATTCCATCACACAAGACTAGAATGAAGCTCTAACGTCTTTACAGGCTGGTGTCTTCATGTTTTACAGTGATATTGAAAACTGTAACTTGGATGTGGATAAAAACTTCAATTGTCCAGTTTACTTCAACAAAAACGTAAACTTGGCAAAGTGCATTATTTTTCATACTATTATCTTGGGGACCAACTGTCATATTTATCTAGTCCAAAAGATAGAAGCACAAAGCCTCATCCATCAATCAGATATGATCAGAACATAATTATTAAACAGGATGATTGGATACTCAATCAAAACTCTGCTCTGAGTATCACATGGTCGCACTCTTACAGACTGTTGTGACACAGAACAGCTGACGTCGAATGGTTTCCAGTAACAAGCGTGGCTAGCAGAAATAGCTGCTGCACATCAGGTCTCATTAGCCTTTATAAAACCTCCCTAATATCAACGACAATGATTGTACATCACTATAAAGTCAATGGCAGAATCAGAGTCTGCTGAATGGACCTTGTGGTAGTCCGATTTGTCAACAACTAACCTGAAAGTGAGGGAAGAAGTCTTTGTATCCGCCCTTGAGGATGTAGAGCTCGGGGTAGTGGAGTTTGGGGTAGTCGTTCATGGCGCGGTCTCGCTCCCTGACGAAACGGCACATTCGAGGGCCGCGCTCCGACGAGAACTCGCAGTGGAAGATGATGACGACTCGTTTCTCCGGGCAGCGCGGCATGATGGGGGTCTTGAGGAGGAAATCCGACACCTGCTCCTCCTGGTGCAGGTTCAGAGCTCCCTGAGACGACAAGGATCAGACCAAACACTTAGTTTATCAAGTACAGGAAGTGACCCTGAGACAGAAGATCAGTCTGTAACAAATTTGGTAACTGATCAATCATTTCATTAAAATCAAGAAAAGAATCATCAGGTGGGTCGATAATGAATATATAATTTGTCATTCACGTGTCGGTAGATGCTGACTCACCTTGATGTGTCCGCCCTCAAACTCGTAGGGGTAGCGGCAGTCGATGACGATGACTCGCTCGACTAGATGGTTAAACTGGTCAGTCAGAGCTGCCACCATCTGAAGGGCACAGACGACACACTTTAATGTTTTATCTTTGAAATAAAGTGCAAGTCTCGAAATAAAGTACTCGTCAGGACGAAGAGAGAAACAGCCAAGAGCCTCCACTCACCACGTCTGAGGTAATGTACTTGAGGTCTTGGTGTTTGCCCTCCACTGTGGGTAATACGAAAGGCTAAAAAGACAAGAAAGGAAATTAGATTAAATGGGTTCATTTCGCAGAATTAAGTCACCAGAGATGAAGATTCTGCGGTGTTCCTCACCTTGGTGAAATCTCCTATTAGCTCATTGGAGCCGTCCTGATTGTCCAGCAGCTTCTCGATATCGGTCTGACAGAAGGACTTGGACCTCTGGAGCAATGAGCAGCTCTGGGAGGAAGAGGAGGGAGAGACTTAAGGAGGCGGTCGAGGAGAAAATGAGGTAATTCGAGATCGTCTACAAAAAGCCGGTGACAATAGCTGCTCAGCCTCGGGGGGTCGTTTCAGAATCAGAAGCCATTTCTCCACTTCCACTAAGGAGTCAACAGATGGTCAGTGGAGACTGGTTTTTAAGCTGCTGATTTATTGTAGCATCAGGTTTGTGCCTTTAGTCTAAACTGATCACATTTCTACATTATATCCAGCTTCACACCATTAGCTCGCAAGTTTATAACAGCAGCTCCAAGATACGAGCGGCTCAAAAAAGATCTTTTCTGACTTATTTAAGCTTCTGTTAGAAAAGAGCATTCCCAGCTAGTAGCTAGGACCTGATCAGTACTGGACATTGAGCTCCACTGATCCATATTTACAGGCAACTCATCTCTGAACACCGTGAGAAGCATGCACAAACTAAATTTAAATCAGCCATTGACAAATACTTATTTTACTGATGGATGTGAGGACTCACCATGCGTGGGGATTCGGGGTTTTGTTCCAGGGTGGTGGGTTGTGTTCCTGCCAGGCTGCGTCGCCTCTTCACCCTAACCGGCGTGTTTTCATCTCCGGGGCAGTCGGGACGCTTCGCAGAGGGACGGGAGACCGGACTGGGCATGGAGGGCGAGCGGAACAGGCTTCGTGGCCGGCAGCGAATCACAGGCTGAAGGAGGGAAAAAATAAATAAAATCATCAGACTGAATGGCATAACTTTTAAGTCAAAAAGTAAAAATTTGAGCTCCTAAATTCAAGCATCATGTGACCACATTTGTATCACCTATCAAAAAAAAAACAAAAAAAAACATTCCTGCTACAACTGTTGCTAGTCTCTAGATTTGCAGATTGTACAATAAAGCCAATGCTGCTACTTTTATTTGTTAGTAGGTAAACTTACAGAGTCTTCTCCTGTGGTGTCGGACACCAGCGGGGCGGTGAGCAAGCTGGCCATTCCCATCGGCATCCCAGAGTTGTTCTGTAGAAGACAGAGGGGTTGTCACGCAATTTAGAAACAAAACTTAAAATGTGTTCTTGAATTTGAACAGTTTGGGGGAGCGATTTCAGACGGAGGGTTTTTTGGATTTTATTTATTTATTTATTTTACTGGCAGACAATCTGTAAAGAGACAGGGCCTCACCTCCATGTTGTCATCCAGTTCGTCCAAAAAGCCGTCATCATCATCATCATCGTTTATAGAAGAGGTGAGGGAGGAACGTCTCAGGAACATGGGGCTGGAGTCATGAAAGTCCAGATGCTGGACTGGAGGAGGTGAGGAAAACTGGACAAAGGGGGGGAAAAAAAAAAAAAGATAAGGAGAGTTTGCATCTTTCTAGAGCCAGGTCTTAAAACATTGTGCACAACAACAGACACCGATTCTTCAGAGGGCCACGTACCATGAGGGCTGGAGCCGAGCTGGGGCGGCGGGCAAAAGCGTCCTTTGTCTGTCCGCAGTTAAAAGAGCGCACACGACTCCGCGACACTGGCATGGTTGGTTTCTTGAATTCAAAACCCTCCTGAAAATACAATATTTAAAAAAAATCATCAATGCTCAACATTACCAACACCTAGTTGTCCCGACTTTATAGATAAAACTCAGTGGCTGCTGATCTACACACAATATTTCTACAGGCATTCTGTTTCAACTATAAACTTACAGATGGAAAAAAAAAAAAGTGTCAAAAACTTTAACACTTGATATTGGAACCAATGTTATTCTAATGACTTCAAGGTGAAATAAAAAGCCAAGGATCGACCAAAATGTTAAGACAAATGATGCAATGCCTTCGCCATGGCAACAAATCAGCTTTCTGAGCATTACTAAAAGTTCCATGTTAGCTTTTGACCAGGAAAAAGCCCATTTAACAATGTAGGTTCTTACTGATGAAAAACAAACACCACTGACCTCCGGCATGTTCTCTTTGTTGTCGTATTGAGAGGAGGAGGCGGCATTTATTTGGGAGGGTTGTTGACCGAATATTCCATAGCGGTGGGAATCCTCCTGACCCTTCAGGGACGGACTGAAACCCAGGAGCTGGGGCTGAGGGGGGAGAAGAGGGAGCCAGTCAGCAGAGGCTCAGCAACTGGAAACAAGCTGCTCTGTGGTGGGTTAACACTGGAGGATGTTTTGTACCAACTAAGTTAAAGACAAAATGTTGTTACCTGACCGAGCTGAATTTTTTATGTTATTTTTACTTCAATTTGAGACCTTTTTCTCTTGCAGTTTTTCCATTTTTATTTTAAACAGACGTAAACTTAAACTTTTTGAGATTACATTTTTAGTGATTTTGATGTTTGACAGCTGAATTACAACTGGCCACAGTCTTGCAGCATCTGGCAGCCCTGAACATCAGCCAGAGATTAAACCAATTCAAACAAAGCATGAAGAGCTGTAAACATGATAAATCTGCTTACTGGCAATGAGTTGATTCTTCGAATTGGTAGCCTCCTGTAATTGATAGAAGGGAGAGGAAGCGGTCAATACAAATCAAATCAATAGGCTTTTTTAGTTCATGTAGTATAATACTCTCTGGAGAGCAATGTAGTTCAAATACGGAGAGGCAATAACAGCCAAACACCGGTTAATGATTTTAGAATATTGACTGGAAAGCAACTTACTCGTTGACAACTCGGCTGGACTGTTGAATGGCCTTTTCAAATCTGTAACAGAGAAATTGGAGACTATTCAGAATAGGTATGAAATGGTTAAAATATGCAACAGATTTGAAGACAGTGCTGTACTCAAATGAAAAGTATCAGGTCTTTGTAATAAAACCCAGTGCAGCAAGAGGCTGAAAGACCTTAATTGCCAGTTGGGACACTGTGTGCCCGTAAACTACAAAGAATCTCTGGCTCTATTGAGAAACCAAGACGAACGGTTGGACTAGAGGAAGTTGGGTGAATGCATAGACGTAAGAGGTGGCCTTTGCACTGGAGTTATGCCCACCTGTATGCTAAATAAGTTGAGTGGAGAGCTCAGTGTGCCGCTCCAGGAGAGGGGGGTGGGCGGTAGGAGAAGGGATGCAGAGATCAGCTAATCTACCATATGCCTGCTAGAGCCAATGCTGCCAACCCCTTTTCTGCAAGGGCCCATTGTTTGTCGAGGGGGGGAGCGTGTCCCATTCAATGCAGACGAGAAGGGGTGGGGGTGGGGGGCAGTTGTTCTCTGGGGGTGCCCTCATTTCAATAGACGTGATGCAAAAAAAAAAATCTCCTGCCCCCTTTTTCCTATTGAAATAACAGTGCATGGGAAGAGTGTGCCAAAACCCAGAGGGGGTGGGCTATCATTAAACCCAAGCGCGGGCCACGTCCTCCCCCCAACCTAGAAAACTCCTAGCAACCAAACAGCTGTAAAAGGAAGTGAATGAGGTCCTGAGCACCAAATGCTGCTGTAAAGGAACTCGCACATAAGACAGCGGCAGATGTCTGCAGGGGCTCACCCAACTGAGCATTAAGAGAAGGGCCACCCAAGATTAGGCAGTTGAGGATATGCTGACAAACTGATAAAGATAATGCTGAGTACAACTGGTGTTACCATAAACGGGTACAAATTAGTTTCTGCTTAATCTCTTAACTTGTCTCTGTACCTTGTCCAGAGTGTCAAGAATTACTTTCCACTGAAAACATAAACAATTCAAATAGTCAACAAATGTAAAATTCCAGACATGTTCTTTTCACTCAACTTTAAAAAACACAAAGAAAGTTAAGCTGAAATGCCTTAATGGCTAATCTTCTTAGTAAAACCAAGTGAAGCTGCAATCTTAAAGCCAACGGTAAAACAATAATCCTACAGATGAGAAATGGTGCTTGGTTCAGCTGAGCCCAAGCACAGGGTGGAGGTGGGGAGAGGGTTGATGGGGGGAAAGCAGAGGGGCACAGCTCACAAGCTGATTGATTAGAACAGACAGGAGGAGGACAGTGCAACTTACGTGTCTTCCACTTCAATAGCATCCATGGGGCTCGGGGGATCCATGCCGAGGCCTGAGGGAAGATATTTGCGTCACAGATCGATATATACACCAGGTGGTACAGCACAGGATGGGACACTGGCATCAAAAACCAGCTGAATACCAGTGGATTATGACAGTACTTTACCAGTTGCATGAAGACTAAACTGTTAGTTTGGGTTTGTTAAATCCAGAAGTCAGAAAAGAGGGAACAAAGTGCAAAGGTGATGCTGTATAATAGTCGCTTGTTTTGTCCAACCAACAGTCCAAAACCCAAAGTTATTCAGTTAACCATCACAAAAGAAAGAAAATAGTAAATCCTCATGATTGAGAGATTAATAATTAAAATAAATTTTCAGTTGAAAAATAAGCTCTAAAAATAAGTTAAAGCAACCATTGACAATACTCATCTCATGACTACATTTAAAGTTAGCTGAGATCAGATGTACATTAAACCCTCAGGCATCAATTGTAATGGCATCAATTAGCACAGACAATAGGTTTTCAGGATAGCTCACCAGCATCAGATGAGACGTCAGAGGCAAAGGAGGGAACCTTTTCAAGGGGTGCATGCTTTCTCCTTTTCGGAGTATCACATTGGCTGTGTGGGAAAGAGATGAACAAGAAAAAAAACAATAGTGTGAACATCAAACCGAACTCTGCATGCAAGGTTAAGGGCTGGAATAAATAGAAGTTTTGTCCATGGCTGGAGAAATAACACATAAAACTGTAATACTACTACTTCTACTATAACTACAACGAAAAATAATAATAATAATAATAATAATTATGATAATACCTGCCGAGTCCAGCTAAATTGTTCATGTCCAGAGCCAAATTGGTGACAGGAGATAGTACAGTCGCGGGTCCAGGGGAGAACAGATCCCTGCAGTGGGAGTTCTTTGAGCTGAGATCGGACAGGGAGAACGAGGAAAACCCGGGGATCCCATCGGGCCTGCTTTTCAAAACAGTTTTAACAGGACTGGTGCTGCCAAAAACATGAACCGACTCCATCTTTAGCTGTCCAATTTGTATGAATCCCGCGGTCGTTATTGCTTTAGTTTGAATTTCGGGCAGGAGAGTGCCAATAAGTTAGCAAGACGGTCCAGACTTCAAGCTAACAAGGGAGCTAACCAGTTAGCTAGCAACAATTTAAGAAAACATTTCCAAACCATACGATGTGAAACTCCGGCTGGAAGTGACTCGGTGGTTCCGTGTGGAGTAAAACTTTGATTCAGTCCTGCTAAGTTAGTAAAACCACATAGTTGTTGTTTGTGGCAGAGAGCTGCAGCACAGCGTACTCCCTCTCTGACAGCCCCTGGTTTCTGAGAAATCGAGACTGGGGCTCCTCGTATTTATGTTCAAAATAGAAGTTGTGAAGCGGCAATCTTTCAGCCAATCAGCGCCGTTCTCCATCCCGTCGACCAATCAGAGCGCGCAACAGCTCTCGCCGTTGTCCTGTCGCCGGATGGGGGAGAAGAAGGAGGATGTGACACAATCCTTTAAAATTTTCATCTTTCTTCTCACATATCTTTTGTTCTCACCCTCTCGACTTTGGGCTGAAACACTCAACAATGTAGGCATGAAACATGAATCTTTGACTGCCATTTTTGTTTGGTTTAAATTCATAGAATAACAATTAACATGGCTACTGAGAGAGAGATTATAAAATATTTGATCAAAAATGAACAGAGTTTGGCAAATCCCCTCCTCACTTGCGACATGTCTGTGCTTGTAAGCCAGTATCCTACAAACAAAGACAAAGCAGTTTATCTTAACTGAGGTCAAAGATTATGGCATCATTTTACTGCATAAGTTCGTCTAAACTCATAAATACATTTGCACTTTTGATTTCTGCTTTTTAACTTATGTGTTTGTGCTTTTAGACATTGTTGCCCAGTTATGTAGGCTATATGCCATTATTTGAAATCCTTAATATTTCAACTCTTCTTTTTGTTTTAAACTATTTGTATATTTAGTATTTTTGTATTTAGGTATCTATATAAGGAAATGAACAGTGTATATGTATGTTTGTTTGCAAATTTACTTCAAATTGCCCCTGAGGGATGAGGATAATATTTTTGAATGGAATTGAACTGGATTCATTCCAGTGATGGTAGAAATATTCAGATACTCATGGGTGGCAAAGGTTTTCAGATTACAAGTAAAAGTGTTGCCACACTCCTGTCCTTCACTGAAAATCAAAAGTAAAACTTCCGTATGCAGAACAATGTCTCCTGTGACTGCGATAACATTAGTTCATCATTACAGCGTGTGTGTTTATGTAGGAGCAGCATTTTACTGCTGTATTTGGCTGAGGTGGAGCTAATTTTATCATTTATAAAGCAGCTATTTTATGACTGTAAATCATGATTATTTCCTCCGTTTGATCGATTGATTGTTTGGTTTGTAAAAATTCAGAAAATAGTGAGAAATGCCTTCGCCCAAATTTCATGTTTTGTCTGATCAATTCAGCTCTGCTTGTATATCATGTTGGGTCAGTTAATGTATAACAAGGCATCACAGTTTATAGGCTCCTCATATATTTTGATAGCATCTTAATTGATGAAGTAATTAGTAACTCCGGCTCAGATAAATATAGTGGAGTACAATATTTCCCTCTGAATGTAGTGGAGTGTATTAAAAGACTCAAGTAAAGTACATGGTCCTCAAATTAGTTTTTAAGTACTGTTTGACTAAATGTCCTTAATTATCCACTCCAGATACTTAAGTAAAAGTAGTAATAGCCTACTACTTGTACAGTAGTATTATACATGTAATGGATGTATAAAAAGTTAGAGTTAAAGTTAAGTCTTCCCATCATTGCAACATTTTGGTTAAGCACATTGTGACCTAGCCGTGTGCATGCATACCAGTAATGGCTGCCAGGCTCATGCGCCTCCCACTCAAAGTGACTCAAACAAAAGAAATGATTTTCCCTGATGAATGAATACTTCCTTTTTGCTGTTTCTCTGCCTTTCTGCTCCACCAGCGCACACACACTCTTGCGTGTGGACTGGTGTGTGTTGACTGTTGTTAATGGTTTGTTTTCACTGCTGGCTGTGCAACATACAGTATTGCCCCTCAGGGGTATAATAAAGATTAACTTACCCTCTGAAATCATGTTGCATTTGTGAATCTTTTCAAGCTGTGAAAAGCAAAATGAACTCAGGGAGAACATAGTCGAACATCATGAACTGAGATGTTTGTTGTTCCTGAATATGTTTAGATTAGAATGAGGGTGATTTGAATTTGTGGGTGCGTGTGTGAGTTGGTATCACATCTTTTGAAGTGGTTTTAGTTATGTCATCCTTCATCAAACATCACTTCCTGTTTCATATGAGTAAAATCGCATCTATGTATAAGTTTCAGGAAATCAGAATTTAAACAACCTCACATCCATGTTTTTATTTAAAATAGGAACTGTTTCCTCTTATACTCAGATGAAAACTCTGAACTGTGGCTCTATGAGGAAGTGATTTTGTAAACTGCAGGGATTTTAAATGGGTTTGTTTGTAGAAGAAGTTATTACTTGGTGCTGTCCCTGCTGGTTGTGACACCAACCATCCTTCTCTTTAAGCTTTTGCATCATAAATACAGGAAAGTTTGAATTGTGAAGTGAAAGGTTTCAATGGAAGGTCCCTGGTGGAAGCTTTGTAAAGGTTTGTAAAGTCAAACACACAACACACACCTGCCTTTAACTAGTTCAACCAGACCGCTGAGGCACTCTGACAAAACCAGACTGATGTTGGCAGTAAAAACACCTCAGGATTTTGCCTAGAGGTTTATGGGATGTTTGTGATAGTAGTTTGTGGTTCTGCGACTTTTCTCCTCACCTCAGGAACTTCTTCCATCAGAAGTCCTAGTTTTTTAACCACAGTCCTGACTGCATTTACAATACAGAATGAACAGTTATGTGCAATTCAGATAAGTAACATCAGCTCTGTTTGTTTCCGTAGATCTTTCAGTATCATTTTTAGCAAACCTGAGGTTGTGAGCAGGGAGGTGTACTGACCTTTGGCTGGGGGAATAACAGTTAACCACCGTGCAGTCTTTGTTCGGTTAAAGTATCTGTGTGATTGGCATCACGAATGTAAATAAGGTTTAATGAATTTCCCTGGAGAGGTAAGAGCACGGGCCTGTGACTCCAGGCTCCCACACCCCACAACTGAAAAGAAGAGACAAAAGGGGGGAGAGAGAGAGAGAGAGCGACTCACCCCGAATAAAACCTCCTCAAACCTCCCGACACCTTCAGTTCCCACCAAAACCAGCACTGACTCCCCACTGACAACTGCTTTCCTTTTATTTTTTTATTACACAAGCTCAAACCAACAGACGCACAAATGCCAAGGAAGCAAGTTTCACAATCTGCTGAAGAGAAGACTCTAACAACTAACATGAGAAAGTCTGAAAGCTGATCTTCAACATACTCCCAATCATTAGATCATTAGTTCAGTTTAAATTAGTGAAACTTTTCCTTTATTTGTAGGAGGAACAACCTCATCTCAGTCCTGTGACCCTCATGGCTTCACATGGTAATTAAATGAGAAATATATTAAGTAAGTAGTAAATATTATGCATTATGCAAAGCATGCTAATGAAAACCCACCAGCAGCCTATTGTAATCCATCACAGTGCACGTCGAGCCAGATTAAATTTATGTCAAAGTTATCCTACATTACTGTTGCATTGACAACATAACACAAAACTCAACTGCACAGAATACGTGTAATTATGTAGTTACAGGTCAATTATTGAACCCATAACTTGTTAAAGACTTGATGAGCTTTGAAACAACCTGAGCTAATGACATAAAACCAACCTTTTCGACTTTCATAAGTGCTGCTATAAAAAAAGTTCTCTGAGGATAAAGTTCATTACTGCAGTGTATTAGGACCAATCTTATCTGTATTTATCTCACACTGTGACTCACTTAGACGACCAGCGTGTGGTTATCTGCAGGCAGTTGTGTTAACCTGTAATTGGGACGCTCATAAATGATTCTTCCCCACTGATGGCTTCAATACTCAGCGGTCTGCTTTGTTTTCAAAACCATTCATTTACAGGTGGAGGTAGAGGGTGTAGCTACAAAGGGAGGGGGAAGTTTACACAAACACACACACACACACACAAACACACACACACACACAAGAACATTAGTTGCTCAGTAAAGTCTTCTGTCTCAGTCTCTGTTCTCAAGGTGACATTTGTGAAAGACAGATGGATTTTGTCGACAGAAGCTGCAGATTATTTGTGAAAATGCTGAAAATGTGAAAATCATTATTGCTGTTACTGCCAATACTGTCCTTTATATATATATATATATATATTAATATTATTATCACTGCATGCTGTTCTTTTCCTCTGCGCCAAGTGCTTGCTCTTGGTGGGAATTGTTGGGTCTCTTTGAAATGAATCTCTATTTGAAATATGCTGTATTTGAGATAACTTCTGTTTCGAATTGGCGCTATACAAATAAAAATTTACTTGACTTGACTTAACAGGGATTCAGTGTCTTACTCCAGTTTTATTCTCGCTGAAGCTGCATACAGACAATAATGTGACTCTAACTCTCCACTGAAACCAAAACAAATGTAATTCTACTCAGATAAATCGACATGTAACTGCTGTGCAAAGATATTTAAATACTAGTAAAGTCCTAAAGGTTCAAAATAGTACAGACGCACAAAATAAAAGCACAAACAAACCTTCTGCTGCTTCACATAGCAATCAAACTTCAGCCCATAAAAGTTGTAAGTGGTAAAGTATCAGAATTATGCAGCTAACCCTGTCAGTGTTATATTACTGCCTGGTATATATATTATTATTATTATTATTATTACTGCTGCATTAACATGTAAGAAGCATTTAAATGTTGTAGCTAGTTGAGAGGGAGCTAATAAAACGACTTTATAAACTGTAGAGCAGTTTAATCTTTAACAACGCATCATATTTTATAAACTGACTAATACATTTTGGTTGTAAAATCTTAATCAGTAAAGAAATACTACTTATACCTCTCAGATATACAAACTTCCCCTGAAATGTATTGGAGTATTAGTTATAAACTATAGCATAAAACAGAAATACTCAGGTAGAGTACAAGTACTTCAAAGTTGTACTTAAGGGAGGGATCTTCTTACCAACACTGGACAATTAACAAACAACCTACACCTCAGTGCAGGGTACTAACGGTCGATGACCACTCGATTGGACACTCAGCTCGATCATTTGCATTTGTCTTATCTGCATTAACATTGACACTAGTTCAAACAGGTCATTAGCACAGTGGCAGCTTCAT